GCAAACAGGTTGTACAGAAGTGTTTATCCTCTCAGCAATGGGTTATGACCGATATGTGGCAATATGTGAGCCCCTGCATTACAGCAGATACTTGACCAGAGAGATATGCAGTAAAATGGTGGGTGGAGCTTGGCTCCTGGGTTTCTTTTATTCTATGCTGAATGCACTGCCTTTGCTAAATCTTTCTTTTTGCAGCAACAATATCATCAGACACTATGCTTGTGAGCTTCCTTCACTCTTGGCTTTGTCTTGTACAGATATTCTCGCTAATCACATCATTCTTCTTATATCGCTGTTGGCAGTTAGTGTTAGCTCATTTCTTATCACCCTTGTCTCTTACATTTATATTATTTCTGCCATTATGAAAATTAATTCAGCAGAAGGCAGGCAGAAAACATTCTCCACATGCAGTTCCCATCTCATTGTGGTGGGCTTATATTATATTACAGGTTTTGTTTGTTATGTGAAGCCAAGTTCTGAATCACTCATGGATCTGGACAAAGTCATCTCTATTCAGTATAGCATTTTAACTCCTATGTTAAACCCAATTATATATAGCCTGAAAAACAAAGAGATCAGATCTGGTGTACAGAAACTATTTGGAAAGTGTGGGCCCATTCTTTACCCACCAAACAATATTCACAGTTTTTGACTTAATATCCTTACAGCATCAACAATGAGAGGGAGAGGGCGAGGGAGAGGGAGAAAACAATTAATGACACAGCAGGAATGTGGGGTTCTACTTCCCCCAAATCCCTGACACTATGTGTCTTGCTCTAAAATAATTTTAGCAGTTTTTTTTTTAAAGAATCAGAATGAAAGTATCCACTGAGATTCAAAAAGTTTGGGATTTCTTTCCTCTCATAGTATCCATCCATCCGTTCCCCCCCCCCTTCCATTATACCATCTAATTTAAATCTATTTTCCCCCTCCCCCCAAAATATGTATTTCTAATCATATTTTGATGTTATTTTATAAGAACCGAGCTGCAAGATTAAAAGAAACAGATGGTACAATGTAATCTACATCATGATATGATCAGCACACTTTTCTGGGAAGTTGGGATCTATCCTTTCTTATCAGAATTTAGATATAATACATCCTGTTTGGAAAAACCATCAATTTTGTATCTCCACATGGTGGTCACTGAGGACAGTCTTCAAAAACGTACTGCATATAATTATCATGTAGCTATTTTTTTTTCAATTCCTGCTGCTGTCTTCATAACATTTCTACTCCTAATCCATATAATTTCTTTCAAATGGATAGACCTGCACACAGAGGAATTAAGTGGTCATTTCTACATGCTTCTTAGGTGATTTTAAATGTACTGCAATAACTGTAAAGACATAATCTTTGAAAGTTTGTGATCAATGAAGACCTAGTGAACAACTCTCCATGTTTCTTTTCTAGTAATTTCATGAGTATTGCTTTGCTTCCCAAAAGTGTATCCTGAAGGAATTCGCCTTGGAGATTGCACACATGCTTAGAAATTAAGTGTTACTATATACCCAGACTTGGAATATTTGGGAAATTGGAACATAAGGAATCCTTTCAATGCAACGGGATATTCAGAAAGTATGAAAGCAGCATGTAAAACCTCTCCTTTACCCTGATCTTCAATTGGGGATCATGATCTGATCTTAGGATACAATTGGAAGGGCAGAAAGGTGTATATGAAAAGTTCAAAAGTTACATTGTTCAAACGTGGGCTGGGTGATGGTTGCTTGCTTTCTTCATTGATAGTTAAACTTTTAGAGGCTGGTTCATTTGGGTTAGCCCAATTCAGGTGACACAGTTATTTACAACTTTGGTTATGTTAGTTTTATTATTTTTTGAAAGGTGTTAGAATTTTATAGATGATTTGTATGTCTTTTTGTAAAGCATCTAGTGAAATTGGAGTGGGTGATATGTACATATATAATGAAAGAATAAATAAATGCTTACTTTTAAACAAGTAACCCAAATGTACTCTTAATCATCATCCTTTTCATAACACTTGTGATAACAATACTGATTCATCCTCTCTGTCTCTTGCAGCGAACACAATTAGATATTAGATGCTTTCAACACTTGAGGGTGACAATTAGTGTCGGGCAGAGTGATCATCACAAACACTCCTGTTTGTGCAGAGCGCAGCAAAAACTCCAGGAAAATATTAGCTATGAAAGCAAACCCATCAACAGCTATTCACAATTCAATGTCCATTTCTTGTTTCACAAAGAAATCCAGTCAGAAAATATATACTAACTGGTGTTTATTGATAA